TGTGTGTGTGTGTGTGTGTGTGTGTGTGTGTGTGTGTGTGTGTGTGTTTGTACTGAGAGGCTGAACCTAGGGCTTCATGCATGCTAGGCAAATACTCTTAGCATTGCCCTATATTTCAAGCCCTTTTATACTCCCACTTATAAGTCATTTCACCTTCTTAAAGGAAAGAGAAGGATATAAATTTTTTTTTAAAAAGATAAAAGTGAAAAAAAATGCTCTTTTCAGCCTGATACAAATGACAGTCTAAGTAAAAAATTTTAATGTACAGTATATCTATCCCACATCACCTTTTTACTAGAGAGCTCCAAAACCTAACAAGCTCTAAAATTTCTGTAGTAGAAACCCCAGTGCCTTCCCATGTTTAAATATAGCAACTAGCTGTCTTACATTTTGATAAATTTACCAAGTGTGATAATGTGAAATAGAATGGCCCCAGAAGCTCGTTTGTGTGTGTGTTTAGTTCCCACTTGGTGAACTGTTTGGGAAGGGTAAGGAAGTGTGGCCTTGTTGGAATAGGTGTAGCTTTGTTGGAGGAGGTGTGCCACTGAGGGTAGGCTTTGAGGTTTCTTTCAAATACCCACACCAGGCCCAGTCTCTCTCTCTCTCTCTCTCTCTCTCTCTCTCCTGCCTTCAGATCAGGATGTAAAGCTCTCAGCTACTGGTCCAGCATCACGCCTGCCTGTCTGCCCCCGTGCTCCTACCATGATGATAATGGACGAACTTCTGAAACTGTCAGCAAGCCCCCAGTTACCTTTCCTTTATAAAAGTTTGCTTGGTCATGGTGTCTCTTCACATCAATAGAACAATAAATAGGATATCAAAGTTGAGTGGAAGCTAAATGAAACCTCAGGCTAGCACTCTCAGATTTTCAGTATGCTCTGATATTTGAAATGTTCCAATATATAGAGAACATTCTGGAGAGGGTGATCCTGCAGCTGCATATTTTTCAGCCTTTCCATTGATTCCATGACAGTTTTCCTTCCTATTAAAAAAGAAAATATTATTGGCAAGAATATTAAATGAAAAAACATCACAGAGCTTGAAACAGAAGACAGATGAGAAAGGCAAGATTCATGGAAGAGTCAATATCACTATTAATGAATCAGAGTAAGTTCATGGCTACATTCTATGCTGACCTTTCCAGATGTATTTTAAAGTTTATTTCTAAAACACGAGCCGATGACCATAACTGTCACATGTCTAGAATGTGGTCTTCAGTAGTAGAGATTGATATTAATGGGCTATTGAGCCTGTGCCATTAAATGTTGCTGTAACACTTTAATTTTTAGGGCAATTAATTGCTAAAGCAAACAGTGATTTGATTTGGACTGTTTAAAAATGTTCACACTCAAAAACTGTTTTAATTTCACACAAATGTAATAGGCTGCTAGTTTCTGTTTCCTTAAAATATACTTATATGTGTGTGTGCCTGCTTGTCTGTATGTACTCTGCGTGCACACGAGTGCCCATAGAAGCTAGAAGAGTATGTCAGAGCCACTGGAACTGAAGCTACAGGTGACTGTGGGCCACAGGCTGGAGGTTCTGCTAACCAAACCCAGGTTGCCTCAGCAAGAGCAGCAAGAACTCTTCACCTCTTAACCACATCGCTCAAGCCCCGAGGTTTTCAGGGAGGGGATCGTTTGTTTTTGTTTTTTGGTTGGTTGGTTGGTTGGTTGGTTGATTAGTTGGTTGGTTTTCTGCTGTTTTTTTTGTTTTGTTTTTAATTTTTTATTTTTATTAATTACAGTTTATTCACTTTGCGTCCCCCCTGTAGCTCCCGCCCTCCTCTACTCCCAATCCCACCCTCCCTCCCCCTTCTCCACCCTCCCCAAGTCCACTGATAGGGGAGGTCTTCCTCTCCTTCTGATCCTAGTCTATCAGGTCTCATCAGGAGTGGCTGCATTGTCTTCCTCTCTGGCCTGGTAAGGCTGCCCCCCCCCTCAGGGGGAGGTGATCAAAGAGCAAGTCAATCAGTTCATGTCAAAGACAGTCCATGTTCCCATTACTATGGAACCCACTTGGATACTGAACTGCCATGGGCTACATCTGTGCAGGGGAAGTTAAACAGCAACAAATCAGTTAATCCAATTTAAAAATGGGGTACAGAGCTAAACAGAATTCTCAATAGACGAATATCAAATGGCAGAGAAACACTTAAAGAAATGTTCAGCGTCCTTAGTCATCAGGGAAAATCAAATAAAAAAGACCCTGAGACTTCACCTTATACCCATCAGAATGGCTAAGATCAAAAACTCAAGTGACAACACATGCTGGAGAGGTTGTGGAGAAAGGGGAGCCCTCCTCCACTGCTGGTGGGAATGTAAACTTGTACAACCACTCTGGAAATCAATCTGGCGCTTTCTCAGACAACTAGGAATAGTGCTTCCTCAAGATCCAGCCATACCACTCCTAGGCATATATCCTAAGATGCTCAAGCACACAACAAGGACATTTGCTCAACCACGTTTGTAGCTTCGTTTTGTTTTTAAAGTCTTCTTTGTAAATCTTGATGCTTTTTCCAGTCTTTTGGTTGGGATGAGAATGGCCCTTACAGGCTCATGTGAGTGTGCTTGGTCCAAAGTCGGTGACTAAGGATTAATGGGTGTGGCCTTGTTGGAAAAGAAATGTTCCTGGGGCCCAGGCCCAGGTTTTCCTTTCTTCCTGCTGCCTAGGGACCAGACTATAAGATTCTCAGCTCCTTCTCCAGAATTGTGCCTGCCCATGTGCTGCCGTACTCTCTGCCACTATGATAATGGACTAGCCCTCTAAAGCTATAAGCAAGGTCCAGATTAAGTGCTTTCTTGTATAAGTTTCCTCAGTCATGGTATCTCTTCACATCTTCACAGCAACTGAACACTAAGACCCTGGCAGTAAGTCAAAGCAAGGGTAATGTCTGTGCTCAGTGTGTAACAATGGCATCATTTGACCACATTGCATGTTTTTAACATGTCTGAACAGAAACAACAGTTTCTCCTGACAGTAAAAGTTCACCCTTAACCTTGTCCATCTTAAAGCAAATTCATTTCTTCAGATTTTTTTTCTTTAACAAACAAGGAAGTGTATCCCTATTGCAGAGCGGGAGGTATCTTTGAAGCAGAGCATTGACGTGCTATATGACACCGGGCAGTTTACTCGGCCCTCCCCTGGAGGGCCACCTTCTTCACCAAGAGCAGAAAGCAATCATCTGGCACCCAATGGCCACTTCTGCTATTGGCCAACAAACATCCTTAGAGCATCAGCTGCGTGCCAGCTTCTCTGCTAACTATGGCTGCAGAGACAAGGCTGGCATGGCACCTGCCATGGTACCATGTCTGGAGTGGTTATCGTTGCAGCAAGAAAGATGTAGCCCAAACACAGTAAGGTGTAGAGACAGCTTTTCTGAAGAGAAATGGGGAGACAATCTGGGGAAGAAGAGAGATGGGAGGAGCTGGTAGAAGTGGAAAAGGGAAACTGAGGTCTGGATATATTATATGTGAGGAGAATTTATTTTCAACAAATAAAGCAAAATACAGGGGAGAAAAATTAAAGAGATGTGGAGACAATCACACTGGGCTTAAGGCTCAGGAAAGCAGGAAATAAAAGGGCAATTTGGGGAGAATAAAACACACGTAACAGAGGAATAAGAAAGACTAACAGGCCTCAGAGACTAAGTTCATGATACAATAAAAGCATATAAAGAAAATGCTCTGCAGCCAGTCTGTCTGTCTCATTTCTGTGATTGAGGAGGGACCATGGAATCCTGTGGTCGGCTTCTGTTTTTGTTTGCCCCAATTCATTAAGTGTTTTCAGAGTAAGATAAACCAAATAATATCTGGCCAAGTGCCAATATATCTTATTGGCACTTATATAGTATCTGTTTCATAGTGCCAAGATCTACCAACACATTCATCTTACTCATGTCTGCTCTTTCACTTATTAAATATCTAAAAACAGAATGTCTTCAGAGGCTTCCTGGGGCTAGACACTAAGGAATGGGTGTCGAGAGGTGGGCAGAGAAACACCCAGGGAACAGGCTGAAGCCAGATCTCCCAGTCTCCTATTTGCTGTGTCCTGTGGGACCATCTCATTTCTCTTCAGCAGCTGCATTCAGCATGGTTCCATCTGAGGATCATTCCAGGCCTGAGCTCTGCTGCAGAGCTCTACCCCAGCCCCACTTCCTTTTAATTCAGGCAATTTATAAAAGATATGTGAAGTCAGCCAAGCATCCTAAATGAAGACAAATGAGAAAAGATAAATTAAAACAAATGGATCATATTCGTGCAAAATGGCTTGCCAGGAATTTGCTGTAAATAAGGCTTCCCAGACAACAAA